GCGTGTGTGTGTGTGTGTGTGTGTGTGTGTGTGTGTGTGTGTGTGTGTGTGTGTGCGCGCACACACTCTGCCTTCACACATGGGTGTGAGGCTCTCTGGGGAAGAAAGGCTGAAGGCAAATGGCAGGTAGTAAAGAAGAGATTTATCTGAGGAGCTAAACAGGCGGGAAATTACTGGAGTCCCTGAAAACTTAACAGTGTCAGAGTTGAACCGACAGGCATGCCAGCAAGACGCCTTTATTACTCGCCTTATTTGAACTGAGCCCATATTTCTATTTAATTGCTTCTCTCATTTTCTTGGGCAATAATTATAAGACTAACTTTTCAAATAAAATAAAATTGCCCCTCTGCACTACACAGGCGGTTATAGAACAGGTTAGGGCAAGTTTCCCCCCAGTCCTTTGTCCCAGTCTCGGGGTCTCAGAGCCCGGGATTGGATCAGGAAGACAGTTCTGGCCCTAGAGCTTGTACTGATTTCAAGGACAACTCACCTGTTGAGGTGGACCCTTCTGCCTGCCTCAGTTTCCCCTGTGTCTCTCTCTATCCACCCAAGCCCACTGTGCGTGGCAGTGAGGGAAATGAGGAATAGGAGTAGCTTAACCATTCTACAAGGTATAATAAGATTTGGTTTCAAAATGTCCTCTGGTAACTCTAACCTAGTCGCTAAGCTAATCTCTGCCGTTGGTCCAGGGAGAAAAACTACAAAAGCCCTTGTTCCATTGTACAAGAAATAACAGCAAACGTCCTTTTACGTGCTTAATACTTTGTGATGCCCACTGAAAATCCGCCTCCTGCCTACATTCACTGGGAAGACAGACTTAGTCTAAAGAGGGAGTTATGACCATAAATATGAGAAAAGGTATCTTTTTATGTGCGTAACGTTGCTAAACCCACATATTACTGCCTACTTTCGAGAAAATTTCTGGGAACTTTGAAATCTACTTTCCCCTACTTCTCTGACTCTAGGAAGCTGATCTGCACAAATTCCATCTCTCCAGGCCCTGTGG